CCCGCGCGCGCACACCTGCGGGATAGCGGGGAGAGGCTGCGCGCATCCACACGTGCACGTTCACACCCGCGGGATAGCGGGGAGAGGTTGCGTGCACGCGCACCTGCGCGGGGCAGCGGGGAGAGGTCGCGCGCATCCGCGCGCGCACACGCGCCTGCGCGGGACAGCTGGGAGAGGTCGCGCGCGCACGTGCACCTACGCGGGACAGCGGGGAGAGGTCGCGCGCATCCGCGCCCGCACACGCACCTGCGCGGGACAGCTGGGAGAGGTCGCGCTCATTCGCGCGCGCACGCGCACTTCCGCGGGACAGCGGGGAGAGGTTGCGCGCATCCGCGCGCGCACGCGCGCCTGTGCGGGATAGCGGGGAGACGCTCCCGTACACTCGCTTAGTCAGACAAGGGGAAGCAGCGCACAGGAACGCGTGCACGAGCGTATAGCCGCGGCCCATAGCCAGGCACGTGGGGAGAGTCGCGGAGAAGAGGGGCGCACGCTCACGAGCTCGCGGAAGATCGAGCAGCTGCGTTACAGACCGGGACGCGCGAGACAGCTGCGCGCGCGAGGTGAGTGGGCATGAGAGAGAGCTGCGCCGGCGAGCTAACACCAACTCGTAGGAGACTGGATCATCGGGTGGAGGGGACTGGGCCAGCACGTGGGAGATCGGGGTACTTGTGCTCACCACGCGAGATACTGGGCAGGCACCGATTGAGAGGGCGTCACGGCGCAGGCGGATCGGGCATTCGAGGCAGTCGAGTCACCAAGCAGAGAGGACCTCCGAGTACAGTCCTGTTCATCCACTCGCAGGCACAGCGGCACTACGCAAGACAGCACCTGTATGTTCGCCTCAGAATGGACTCGGTTCATCAGGCGGGGCGGGCTTTTCATGCGCAGCCGGATCACCGAACCGATTGGCCCTTCTTGAACGAGGTCAGACTACTAAGGGCGAGAGTCATCTGGGCACGGTCAGATCGTCGAGCGACCGAACCGGGTTTTTGGGGCGATTGGGACACCAGACCGAACAGGGCTCTTGGGGCGCATTCGGGCACGAGGCGAACCGGCCCTTTCCTTGAACACGGCTGGAACGACGAGTACTCTACCGAAGGGGCACTTTACCGGAGGGGCACTTTACCGAAAGGGGGCACTTTACGGAAGGGGGCACTTTATCGGAGGGGCACTTTACCGAAGGGGCACTTTTTCCGAGGGGGTACTTTTGTGAAGCGGGCCTTCTGAAGAGGTACGACCGAACCGGGCCATCCCGAGGGGCCACTTTTGTGAAGCGGGCCTTCTGAAGAGGTATGACCGAACAGGGCTTCTCGAGCAGGTACTTTCGTGAAGCGGGCTCTCCGAAGAGGTACATCTGGACCAGGCTTTTCCGAGCCGAGGCGCTCAGGACCAGACGACCACGCAGAGGCATGGTCTCAGTAGACCTTGAGCTCTGGCCCCGATGGGCAAGGGAGGCGACATCCGACACAGAGAGCTCCAGTAAGGTCTCATGGGACCGACGGGCACGTTACCGACGTCATCCGATCGGCCGGCGAGTTAGGCCGAGGCGGGCGACTAGATCTATAGGCACTCAGACAGACCTCTCAGACGTTGAGACTGGGCATATGATTGAGGCAGGGACTAGTGCTTCACATCCCATCTTTTTGGACTGAATGAGACTACTTCTTTTGTTCCTTCCAGACGGTGTTTCATGAGCTTCGTCTTGCATTCGTCTCGGTCTGTTACGATCCTTGTTTTCGTGGATGTGGACTGACGTGTTTTGTACAGGTTACAGGAGCCCCGACCGACCCTCCTGCGGGTGACAGACGCGGCGCGAGGCTTAGGGTTCGGACGACGTGCCGGCAGACCCCTTCTACCGGTCGACAACGGCAATAGTCAGGTAATAGTAATCGTCGATAGATTCTCTAAGTATGCTATGTTCATTCCTTTGCACGCTGAAGCTAGAACCGAACTAGTCATACAAAAGTTTCAAATGCGATGGGTCTCTGAGTATGGATTTCCCAAAACCATCGTATCAGATAGAGATGTTCGGTTCATCAGTCTACAATGGCAAAAGTTGATGGAAGTCTATGGAACCAGGTTGACCATGTTGTCAGGTAAGCATCCTGAAACGAATGGCCAAACTGAGCAAATGAATCGTCTCTGTCAACAACTTTTGCGAATGGATGTTCGTCCTGACCAGATTGATTGGGATTAGAACTTGCCTAAAATTGCTAGTGCATATAACAATAGTATACGTACTGTCACAGGTAGGACGCCTAACGCATTGCATAAAGGTTGGAAGCCTAGATGTCCCATTGATGCTTTAACGAGGGACCAGATTCAGAGGCTACCCCCAGGTACGCGTGAATTCGCAGTTCTGCATGAAGAAGACAATAAGAGGGTGAAGGAAAATATACAGAAAACCCAACTACACATGATTGAACAAGCTAACAAACATCGTCGTCTCAGAAACTGCTACCTGTTTACTATGGGCCCTGGGAAGTTCTCAAAGTAATTGGAGGTGAAGATGGACCTTCCTGTCGTATAGATATACCTCCACACCTCAGGACATATCCTGTCTTCCATGCGTCTAAACTGCTACCTTATGTAGAAAGTGATAATTTTCCTAATAGGTCATCTATGATTCCACCCTCCATGAATGGAGGCTATGAAGTTGAGAAAATATTGGAGCATGGTTATTTCTCTACAGGTGGTAGAGGACGACCTCAGAAGCAGTATAGGGTAACGTTCAAGTCCCAACCCCCATCTGAAGCTAGATGGTTTAGTAGGAAAGAACTTCTACCTACTGCTCCTGATATTGTTGCTGCATATGAACGTGGGTTAACTGAGAATTGATGTATTTTCTGTGATGGAACTTGAAAACTGGGACGGCAGGAATGCAATAACCCATGCCATATGTCTCGTGGAAACTGAGGCCTAACGCGACCACCCTCAGCCCAGGCCAAACAGGGGCACACGACCCCACATAAGGACTCAGGGCCTGGATGTAAGGTTGACTTTGGTCAATTGTCGGAAATTCCAACAGTCAAAGTCCAAAGGTACCTAGCCCAGGCCGCTGGTCAAGCACACACACTTGTTTGTATGCAAGTATCCAGACAACATCAGGTCCAAGGGAGAAGTCTGCAACTGTACAATCCGGGCCTTCAGCTGTGAGTCAATCTGGACAACTGTGGGAAAGGCACCCGAGGCCAGACAGCCTCGACGGCGGCTACTTAAGGTTGACCTCGTCTGAGTCAAAGCATTCAGTCTTGCTATGCTGCTTTGACGCTGGCTCGACTTTGACTAGACGCTGGTTTCATGTTGGCGCGACGCTGCCTACATGTTGGTTGTGCACAGGCGCTGCGGGCGACAGCACGAGGTGGAGGCAGCATGCTGGCGCTTCCTCAGTGCGCTAGGCTATGCTG